TGTAATTCTGAAAGCTAGAAGGTTGCTTGTGTTGTTTGGATGCTATGATAGCTCCAGAGAATTCCAGCATGCTATTGTATCAGCTGGCTAATCATCCAGCATGAGGCTATGGAAAGTAAAACAAGAAAAGGGAATTAAGTATTAATATTCTGAATAATAACCCACAAAACAACAACAAAACAAACTCAGCCCAAGCAATAACAACAACAAAACCCACAACAACTGACAATAATTTGTAAAGAAATTAATGCAACCCAAATAAAGGCACTGGAGCAGTTATAGTTACTAACCACTGTTACCAAGCTGTGAGATTAGCTTACAAGTTGCATTTTATCCTACTTTGCACATAAAATAATAAACCAAAAATCATTGGAAAAGTTGCAAATTAAGACTAGTTTTGATACACCTTTCAGTTTTGTTGCGATTTTTTTCACTTTCTTTATGTTCAGGTTCTGAAAGGACTGCAAAAAGAAGCTTAGGTATAGAAAAAGGAGTACCTAAATTCTATGAATAAGTTGTGATGCTTGTATGCATCTTTTTAATCAATATCCTGTGCCGCTACCTTTGGTAGCTTTTCTAGGATGACCAACTGCAGCTATGATGCAGTTGCAGAATATGATACTCAGCCAGACAGAAAGAGACCTAATACCTGGGTATCTAATGCCTGGACGCTAATCAATAGGCAGTCTGAAGGTGCTGTAACAACTTTGCTTAATGGCTAGTGAAAAGTCTAGGAGCAGGTGCCCAAGCATCCCCAGAAGGGTGCAAGGTTCCTACCCCAACTCCGTAATCTGAAGCTTTGGGTGCGCTCCTCGTTGGAGTGAGCTTTAAATCTGCAGGAGCAAGAGCGCCCAGATTTCCTGCTCTCTGTAATCTATCTGACTGGTGACATATGAAAAGTAGGCAGTGTCCCCAGCACTGTGTTTTTTGAAGGAGCTTATCCTTTTCGTCTGAATTCTGTGTTCAGCTGGCAACGTGTGGTAGATCAGAGCACGTCAGGCAGACCTCAGGTCAGTTCTCTTTGTTGCTGACTGTATGTCCTGCAGATCTGTCTGTCTGAATTCTGGTCACTTTGATTCCCTACACCTCTGTGATGTGGGGTTGATGGTGTATCTTTTCTCTTGCCATTTACCTGTGCCATCTCTTTAAACTGCCACCTTTCCTTGGGTAGGTGCACTGTCTTGCTGTCTGTTCACATAGTTTCCAATAATCTGGAACCCTTCTCCCCCCCATGCAGCTTCTAAACATCATGCAAATAAATGATCTGAAGATGTGGTTGGTGAAAAAATCTGAAACTAAACCTGTTTAGCTCCTTAGGTATATTACAGTAGTTACTGATATTCCTCTTCACTGCATGCACTGGCTGCTCTTGAACCATTACTTAGTGCCATGAATTTGCAGTAATAATATTCATAACTACTTGCCAAATCTTTAATATCAGAATGAACATGGATATTCAGCATTTCCATCCTGGTTTCTGGGTTAAGTCTCAGTGTATATTGATTTGTCTATCAGCTGACAGCATTGCTTTATGTAAACAGAAGTGATAGAGTCCAAACTGCCAGGGACCCGAGGCAGGAGTAGGTCCTAAAGACCCTGCCTCTCCTCCCCCAGCCTTGTCTGTGGCCCAGAAACTCCAATTCAGCCCAGCCCAGAGCCATCAGCCTCTGCGCCAGCAATGCCTGCCCCTGTAGCTCAGGGGGAGGCTGTAACTCAGGCTGTCCCTTCAGCAAAAGCCAGCCTTCAGCCCTGAGAAACAACCTAATACTCAGGAGTTGAGAAGTGTAGCTGCAATGAGATAGGAGACAAAATACAAAATCAAGAGTGGCTCAATGAGGAATCAAATGCAAATATTAACTTTGCTTCCTCTAGCTACTAACACACACCTAGCTTTCAGCTATGGATCCCCACAGGCTTGGATAATTCCTTTAAATCCTTGACAGCTTATCCTGCCCTTTGTGGTGCAATCTGAAGTTAGTTATTTCACATATTGCTTTACCCAGGGCGAAGCACGGACCCTTTGCCATTGCTAGAATCCTGTACTGATTTCCTCTCTCTATTTTTTCCTCATATCCCATATTCAACAGCCAGACCAAAATCAGTCAGCTCTGTCTTATGTTGCAAGTGTTTTGGGTGGAAGTGAGATAAAACTCTTTCAATCAAAATGCCTCCTGTGGCACTCCTGGAACAAGGCTGCCCACCCAGGAGGTGATTTATTGTAGACGGAGGAAAAGCAATGCAACTCTCTTTACATTCTAGAATATCCTCCACCATCCTTAGGGACTTGATAAAAACTATCTCCAGTTTGTGAAAAGGCCTTTTTATACTTCCTTTAAAAAGGATGGTCTTGGCTAATGTACTCAAAATGGGATAATAATGACAACTTGACGTGGGCAAAAGCACTATATACAATCCAAAATGACAAGTTGTCGAAAAGGATGATGGACAGCCAGGGGTGGCGTACCTGATGTGGAGATAAGACCATTATGTGTCTTGAAGTTTAAACTTGGCAGCCCAGCTGTGAAATGTGCCTGAAAGCCCCATTGTCTGCTAGGTTGCTAAGGAGCCTTTGAAATTAAGGAAAAGTGTTAATTTGAACAAGAAATTCTGATTAGCAGTGCAAGTAGACAGGCACGACCATCATCTCTAATACATCCATGAGTGCTCTCTTGCACTGCTGTTCTTTTTGTTCTTGTCCCCAGTAGAAAGGCATAGCGCTATTTTCAGAGCCCAGCAGTGCCACTTTTGTCACTGGGAACCTGGAGGAGGTGACTGAGGTGCTCCCAGCTACAGCCTTGGTCATTGTGCCAGGCTGTACCTCATTCTTGGTTTTCTATTCCATGTTGTTTGGCGGCATTATTGTCTACTTTTAACCCTTTTACTGCACCTCTCTATTAATCTAAGAACACTTGTAAGACCACATTGATTTACAGACAGTGAACCTTGAAGGTGTGTGCCCTTCTGTTTCATGAGTAGTAAGTATGGAAAGCCAAAGTTCAACACAAATGAATCCTTCCTAAGGGGGTCCAGGGATGTGGAGAATCTCAGAAAATCAGCCCTTGCAGCAGGCTGTTTCAATGTGAATGAAGGTGTTGTCTAGCCTTAGGCATATGTATGGGAAAATGCTTGCTTCTGCTGTTTCCTAAAATTAACATAAAAGGTTAAAAGAATTCAAAACAGATCCCAAAGCTCATTCCAGCTGCTGTAATCAGTAGTAAGAATTTCCCTTTTCCTCTCTATTTACAAGTCATTTAAATGTTAATGCTTTTTAATGCTTTGATTATGGTGCCTATTAGCAGTGTGGCTATCTGCAGAATTGTACTCACGCACCTGAAGTAGAACAGTTCTGCTTCTTGAGTGGAATCAGCCCCAGCTGTTGGTGAAACACTTTAACATAGCCCAAAGCAAACCTTATAAAGAGTGTATATGGCTGCTAAACAGCTTATATGAATCAACAGACTGACCCTTTCTATCAGGAGTTACAATAAGTCTCCTAGAATAAAATGGGGTGAAAAAAGGAATTTTCAAAGGATCACCCAAAAGGTGAGGCTGTGTCACTGTGTTGAACAGCTTCTTTCCATAAGCCTATGAGGGAGCCTAGAGCAACTACATTCATAATGTAGCTCTCGCAGTTACATTTCAGGTTAGGTGGAGTGAATCCTGGTCTTCGTGTGCAAGTGACATTTATTGTATTTCCTACAGCAAAAGTCCTTTAAATAACAAATGCACGTTTAGACTGGCTTTGATCTCCAAAAGCAAGATGAATTTAAAGACAAGCTTTTAGCTTTAGTTTTGTTTCTTCTTGTATTTCTAAGTTTAAAAGTAGGATTTTGGTCTTACTCTTTCCTTGGGTGATTATTTTAGAAATGTTTTTAGGACAAAACATCTAAGCTTGTGACTGTCACTTTTCTGAACTACTAAATATTTATAGATGTCTGTTGCTGGAATGTGGGCCTGGTTTAAGCCTCTTCATTTATTTTAGAGAACTTTGGGCACAGCAGACATGGGAATTAATTCAGCAAGTAAGCATGTGGACAAGTGTGGGAAGAGCTTTTGTGCTGCTCTTCTCTTCCAATTACATCAGTTGGTCTAATATAGGCTATTGCCTCTCCTTTCCCTTTCTTGTGTTCCTAAAACATCACCACCACCAGAGCAGCAGAGATACCCCAAAGTAACAGTCTCGGGATATCTTTGACAGTTAGCAGGAGCCCTGTGGGATTCAGTAGGAGGTTTGTTTTGCAAGTTTGGGCACAAATGATGGTGCTTAGCTCCTTGCGGAGGGAGCCTGTTGTTGCTTAGCAGTCCTTGTATGTTGCTGGGGGTTTAACCTGTCCTCTGAGCAGTGCCGGGATCTGCGGTGGCAGGGAGGAGGAGGCAGCCTTTCCCACCGGCACTGGCTGTTCCTGCAGGCCTCAGCCAGCTGGTTAAAGGCACCCAGCAGGGTACCTGGGGTTGCTTGGAGGGCTGGGGGTGCCTGGAGTTGCCTAACCCCCCCCATGGGATAACTACCCCAGATGACATTGCTGTGCAGGAGTCCCTGCCATGCTGCACACCCGAGACGTGGCTTTCCCCTTTGGAAGCGTGTACCCTTAGGGCAAAGCCAGGTCTCCTCTGGCACCGGCTGGGGGAAAAGTTTCCTGGCAGGCAGCTGGCAAGGCAGGACGTGGATGCACTCACCGCCACACAGCCCCTGCTCGCTGCCTAGCAAGTGGCTGGGCAGGCTGCAGGGCTGTGGGCTGTCCTGCTGGCCCTGCCCGAGGGAGGTGAGCGTTTTCCCCGGCCGGGATGGGTGCCCTGCGGCCGGGGACAGCGCCGGGAAGGGCTGTGGCATGCTGGGCTCTGCTGATGTAACGGGCTCCCTGCGATTCCCATGCAGAGCTGGTTGGCTGAGAGCTGGCGGAGAGCCTCAGCTACGCCTCCAGCTCAGATGAGGTCATCCCTGCTATTTATTTATTTATATAGATAGATTTATTTTATTTTTTTTTTTGGGGGGGGGATAAGGGGGCTGCTCCACGAAGTGTGCGGTGCCTGAGCCCCTCGGGTCACGGCGGTGATGTGCACGGCGCCTCCACCCCCCCCCAGTCCCCACTGCGCCCCTTCCCGGCACCATCGCACGCCCTGCTCTCTCCCTTTAAAGCGAGAGGAGGAGCGAAGGGAAGATGAAATTACCGCAGTGGATTTTATAATTGACTCTCGCATCCAGGTCGGAGGGGAGCTTTTGCTGGCAAGCCACTGCAGAGCCGCCCGGCCGCGTGAGACCCGCGTGAAGTACCCGCAGGACAGGAGAAACTCCGGCCCCCGCCGCTGACAGAAGTGCAACTCCGGCCCTTCCCCGCCCTGCCCCGTGCCGACATGCAGCCAGCCACCGCCAGAGGCCGGGGCAGGACCCCCTGCCCGGCAGCCAGCAGGAGCTGCCCGGCCCGGGACCAGCCGCTGCCGAAATAAGAGCGGGGAGCCCACCCGGAGCCCTCCTCCCCGCCGCCAGCCGCCCGCCGCCTCAGGCGCAGCCGCCAGGTCAACCCGCCGGGCCGGGGGCGCCATGGCCCTGGCAGCACCCCGGCTGTGCCCCGGGGGCGGCCGGCCCCTTCCTCTGCTCCTTGCCACCGCCGAGCCCCGCGCCGGAGCCCCCCTGGCACAGCCTCTTCGCCGCGTCCTGCCGGGGGCCGAGAGCCCCCCTCCCCGGAGCGCCTGAGCCCCGGTTCCCCCCATCGGGGCTCCCAGCGGATCTGCAGCCCTCAGCACGCCGAGCTGCCCAGAAGGACGCCGAGAGCTCATCTCCCCCCCCTGCTCCTGCTGCTACCCCCGGAGCCAGAGGAGGGCTCGTCCCTGGGGCTGGAGGCTTCTCTGTGGGATTCACACCCCCGGCCGGTGGCCGTGCATCAACCTACAGACCCCCGGGGGGCCAGCTGCAGAGTTAGAAGGAAACCCGGTGTCCGTCACGCTGTGGAGAGGTGAAATAAACCCTGTACAACCAGCACCACCAGCCCAAGCCTTCCTGCCTTCTTGCAACCAACTTTACCCCGCACCCCCCAGCCGTGAGATTTCCCTCCTTTCCTCCTCCCTCCGCTCTCCTTCCCTGGGAGGCTGCAGGATGAGGCTCTTCCTTCTGCCTGCCTCAGGGTGAAGGCGTACCCTGGGGGCAGCACCGCACATCTGGCAGGGACTTGAGAGGTTTTCATCCAGCCTCCGCTGCAATCAACAATGGCCAATGAACCGGTGATCCTCAATGTCTATGATATGGTGAGTGCGAAGCAGTTCGGGCTGTGGGAGCAGAGGGACGGGGAGGGAGCTTGTGCTCGGAGGCAGGCATTGCACGAAGAGGAGCCAAGCACAGATCCCCAGGGAGGGGGATGTCCACCCTCCTCCAGCAGCCTCCTCATCTGAATATGCCATGTTCTGGCTGTCAGAGATGACGCTGACCACGGTTGTTTATTTTTTTTTCTTTGAAATGTTCAGCACGTTGTGGCAGATTACAGGTAAAACCGTGCTGGATTTTCTGCAGGATTTTTCAGGAGCAGCAGTGGGTGAGGGGAGGACTTTTTAATTTCCAGTGTCCCAGTTAAGAAAGATGTGATCACCTCTCTCTAGGAGCCAGTCGTCGTTTAATTTTGAGTGATCAAGGACTGCCAGGCTGTGAGGAAGGGGTAAGGATATCATCCAGGGATGAGAAACATCTGTAGAATTATATTAAGGATGTGGTTTCTAGGCTAATAATCTGGATCAGTCCCTCGTATACATGAGATAGTAGTTAATCATTGTCTCTGAAGGTTAATTGGAACAGCAGGAGTAAAAAGCAGTCTGAACTGATGAAGTTTCAGCACAGGGAGGAGCACAGGGACATGCTGCTTGGAAATGTTTCCTGGAAGTTCATAGCGAAGCAAGTTGCTTCCCTTGCCCTCCTTCTGCAAGGGGCAATGTCAGTGGAAACTCCCTGGGCTAACAAACAGATGATCTCTGAATCCCATCCTTGGGACAAGCCCCCAGAAAGAAGAAGGCTTGGCACAACCTGTTTGCTCTCTGGCCCAGCACAAGTTTGGGATAGACATGTTAAGGTGAGGAACATATTGATGGCAATGTACATCCTCTCCTGCATTTATGAGCTAGTGATTAAAAAAATTAAAAAATAGTTTTCAAATCTTCCAAAGAATTGAGTGAACTTTACTGGGGAAAATATAACTTTATGTGGCTCATGTCCTGACTGGCTCTATACATCCAGCTATCCAGCTCTGTACTTTTAAGATTATGGCATACTTTTGCTTTTTGTCATCAAAGGGTGACAACTTTCAACAGGAAGGCCGCAGAGTAATGTAGGTTTCCCTGTTGGGAAAATCCAGTGAATAGCCACCAAAGGGTGGGCTCTAGTAAATGCCAAACCTCTTCTCATCACAAAGATAAAGTGATCTTTTGTTGGCTGAAAAAGGTAGGTTATTTCCTGAGGTAAGAGGGGGTGGTAAGGACTCTTCAGGTAGGACTGTGTCTGTGTTGAAGGACAGTCTGGAAAGCACAAGAATAGCTTGAAGCTGCCTCTTCTGGAGCTAGTATTGGCAAAAGTGACCAAATGGGTGTAAACTCCTTCCCTAGACTTTGGTCTTGAGTGTTTAATGGTCAATTGCTTGGCAGCCTGAACTGCGAGCTTCCCCAAGCAGTTCTTCAAGCAATAGGTCTGGTAACCCAAGCAGCTGGTGGCTAGATTGTGGTAACAAGAGGCTGACATTGCACACGTACACACAGGAGTTCCTAGCTACTAATTTGAAGAAGGTTAAGGGGTTGTGTTGCTCATTTTTTTTCCACTTTGTTCTGCTGCTGGCTGTGGTCTGTACTTTCCTCTCAGTCACTATTGAGCTGTCTCAAATCAGTTAGTATTTTGGTACCGAGCTGAAGGGATCTGGACAGATTTGGTCTTTGCCTTCTCTTTAATGTCATTGACATCAAAGATGATGCCCAAAGGAAGCTGTGGAGAAGGGACTTGCTGTTCATGGTCACTGTGTGTTGAGATGGACACCCAGACACAGTGAACTCAATCAAGGTCATCAGTTTAATTCAGACTGAGTAATTTTTGCGTCCCAGCAAGCCACACAAACCTTCCTGTGTCAGTACTAACTCCATGGGTTAACCACAAGTTAATGCTCTGTACATAGAAACCATTCTATTTTCATATAGCATCTGTTTGACTACCACTGAGTCACCTCTAGTTCAAATCCTACATTATGATTATTGAGGCTACATGCTTTTCCATTGCTGCTATGATTTTAACACCACGGAGTTTGGAATGCAGCCATGCAAAATCTGCACTTTGTTACACTGTGGTGGGGAATTGCGGGGGAACTGGGAAATGAGCACATTTGCTTGAATGACTGTTGGAAAACTAGTCTCAAAGAAAAAAAAAAAAAAGACAGCTGGGGATAACAATTAACTGGATGTAAAGCTCTGCTTTCCTGACAAGGAACATGACCCCTGTATGGCATCTGGAAGCACTTACACTGCAGGAAAGCTTACCCTTAGGGCAGAAGTTCAATTATGGGCTTTGTGCAGCTATGAAATACCCATTCTGTGTAGTCTTGTGTATTCAAAGATTGTAGCCATTTATCCTTTTACCCATTGGATATGTACCATGCTTCTTTTAGGGAAAAAAAAAAAAGCTTATGCTTAATGAGGTGTTTAGCACAAACAGCTAAAACAGGTAGATCTATTTATTAGACTTATTTTCTTCAGCGTAAAAGAATTGAGCAAAAATCACTTGTATTCCAAGTGTTCAGAATATCTTCATTGAAAGCAATTTCCCTAACCCCCAGCATGCAGAGTGATTATATCCTGTTTTATCTGTTGCTAAAGAGCTTCTACACACCAGTACGCACTTGCAAAAAAGACCGGGAGGGAGAGCTTTGCTGCTCAACAAGGATATTTTAAAGAGTATGCATGATGCTGAAGTCTGATGCAAGCTCTAAATGTGAATACAGAATAACAACACGGATCAGGGGCTTGATTGTGGATGAGTCTCTCCCAATCTGAATCTCTCTCTTGCATGGACTTAACCTAAGCCAACAGCTGTTTGGAGACCTGCAGGAAATAACTCTCTCTGTAACATCTATGACAGAGTTTGCTCCAATCAGGCAGTTATCACTTTACTTTTGGAAAGATAAATCAATTTCCTCTTCATAACTTGCTGATCCCTTCCCTCCAAACCCCCTTAATAAGCTGTTCGTCATGGATGAGGTCTTGCTTAGATCACAGGGTTGATTTTCTTCAGTCAGGATCTCATTCTGTTTCCTTATTGCTTTAATTCTTTCTGTCTTACTTTAGAATAGTTAACTACATCATTGTAACGTTAATGAATGTCACTTCCTGAAATCTGACATAAGAGTGACTGCAAATATTGCCTAGGTTTAAAGCTTTAACAAGCTAGCTAAACACATTCAACTAAAAATAGTCAGTTTGGCAGAGATTCAAGCTGGGGGCTCCCATCATGTTTTCAGCTTATTGCAAAGCACATTCATGCTATTAAATTAAAAGAAAAAATATTTACATTGTTGCTGTCCCTTTTTTATTGTAGGTATAGTTGTCCTGAATTTCCACTGTCTTTGCAGCTGATAACATACAAAGCTATCATCTTGAGTTAAATAACATTCAGGTCACTGTAGGTACGCTAGCTCTGAGATTTCTCCCAATGACATCTAACTTAAGAGAGGTAGCAAAAAATGTAATTCCTTAAAATGGCTTTCCCAAACTCTTTTAGTTCTTTGTGTCCTTTATGTCATTTGCCCTCTAAAGGGCTGATGGGCCATGGCTGATAGCAAAGGGTGGCCCTGAAGATGACAGGTTGGGGTCTCTCTTGCTTCACTGATTAGTGGATGACAGTGTCATTTTGTGTTTGTGGTATTACTGCTTGCAGCCTGTGCTGAAGTAGGGGTGGCATTTTGGCCAGCGGTTGTAAAACTATGGTCGTGTGTGTTGTTTCCAGGAATTCTGGAAACCTGAATCTCACCACTGATTTTTATCAGTGTGGTGGAACTGAGCATCCTGGGAGGCTGCATCAGCACAGAAGGAGGCATTTCTAGGGAGGGAGGGAGGTGTTTGTACACACTCACTGGGAGAGAAATCTCTACATGTCACCAGGGTAGTGGACAGAAGGAAGTGCAGTGCAGCAAGCACTGAAGTTACTGTAGCTCCTCTCTCTTTTATATACTTGTGTGTTCATGTTCAAGGGCCCAAAATTTCAACAATCAGCCACAGAAATCACGAGTGTCTGTCTTCACTACTAAGGTACGCTCCAAAGCTCCTTGCATTTTGCAAGCTGTCACTTAGTTCATTGTGACCTGATGAGCCCAGAGGGGGAAGTTACATTGAGTTCACTGTGACCACAGGATTGGCACCCTGTGGTGGTGGAAAAGCAGCCACCCCATTCTCTGCAAACGTCAAACGAGCTGTGGCTCTGAACAGTGACAGTGTGGTTGACCTCCACTGTCCTCTCTCTGGTGGTGACACCACAGTGTCTCAGCAGGGCCCAGTGTGCTGTAACAAGTCCGTCCTTCATGGGAGAGGAGAAGTAGTTTCAGCTGGGCCACCAGGAAACACAGCCTGTGCTCCTCATGGCCAGGCAGCAGAAGCTGATTACAGCCTGGGAGTGGCTCAGGTGAGGAGAAAAGCTTCAAAGAGGTTGTTTCTTTCTGACTTTATAAATGCCTTTGGTGTGGAGCTGGGCTCAGGGATCAAGGTCTGGCAGCAGGATATTGCCTCAAGGAGGGGGAGCTGCATGGAGCACTCTGGCTTTCTTCTCAGCCCTGGAGCAGAGGTAGGATTTTCAGGTGAGCGCGCTGTGGTGGGGAAACCTGCTTGTGGTATTCTGCAGCAGGCCCTGGCACAGGGTGAGGGTTGGGTGTTGTTTATTTTATGTGCTCTGAGAAGAGGCTTGTCGGAGAGTCTCTTAGTAGAGAGGAGAGGCCAGTGATCAGTGAGGAAAGATGTAAAGCTAGAGGGTCTGTATGGCCACAGTATAAACACACAACACTTCAGTGCTTTAAGCTAATTTTTCTGTCACAGAATAATATTATGGAGATAAGAGCTTCTTTTCTTCCTGCTATTTTTGGCCTTATGCTTGAACGAGCATTGCTTGCATCTGATTTGGAGATGGTGACGTGTATACAGGATTGAAAACCAGTGCAACCTTACCATTCTAGCATCCCTTTTTGGCTTCCTATGCAGGTGGAACAGGCAGAGTGAGTCTCCTGACCACTATAATTATG